TACTAATAAATGAGGAATAAAGATGTGTCATAATTTCACAATCCCTCCGGATTGCGAAATACAAATTTCACATATATAAATGTAAGTTTCACAACATGAACCCTCCGATTCCCACGGCAGCTTATCGAGCACAGCCCGCCTTGGACCCGTCTACTTGGACTCATTCTCCAGCCTGGCGGGCGGCATGGAGCAGAGGGTGGGTACAGGCTGGGAGAGGGAACACCTGCCATCTGTCACCATTTCTCTCCTGGCCTGCCACGAAAACTCAGGAACAACTCGTACGTGGAAGGCCTTGGGGAACGGCACCCCTCTTCTGCGGGAATGGAACTCTCCCGTGGGAAATACATTCCTGGACCGTGTTCCCCAACCTACAGGATCTCAACAGCATCTGTGGTGAAGAAGCTCTGACTTCCTTAGAGAAGCCACCAACTTCCGCCTCTTGCATTTAGATGGGTGGGGCCGCTTCCTGCGGCACAGTAGAGTTGGGGGGGGGGTGCTGAAAATTAACTGGAATAATAGAATAAAAGGCCACAGACAAAACAGCAACTTTGCCTTGGGCCGGGTCTCTGATGTTTGACCAGCTTTGCTCTACAGAGTGTGGTTTCAGCGCTCCTTACTGGGAAGACCGGCCCCCCTTGGTCACCTGCCACCCTTGGACACCTGCCACACTCCTTAGGGTCGTGGGCTCGGCCTAAAGAATCAGAACACCTGGAGGCCCAGGGACATGCATTTTAACAAGCTCCCTAGGGGCCAAGGAATATGCATTTTAATAAGTTCCTCAGGTGAATGTGACATACAGGAACGTGGAGAAGCTCTGCCGTATGTGAAAACAGAATGAAGGGGACATTCATGAATTTGCATTTTCTGAAAGAGAATAAGGAAGAAGCAAGAACGAACAGCCTGTCGAGGCCCCGGACTTGTGCTTTGGGGACTCGTGCCCAGCGAGAATGCTACCGACCACCATGCATTGCCGGCCGAGCATCGACGGCCTTCACCCGTCACCATGCAAAAGCCAACTGTTAGCGTTTCTGATTCATCGTGGGAGAGGATTTTTCTGTTAAGTCAAAAGACAGCTCACCTTCAAGGCCATCGGTGACGCGGACAAAATGAAAGCAAGAGCGAAACTCTTAAGCACACGACCCGACCCCTCCCCGCATTTAGTTTTAAAAAAGAGGATGAAAACTGAAAATAGAAATAAAGTCCGCACAGATATTCTTCCATTCCGCCGGGACTGGCCCTTAAACAGAATTCTCTGTGAGTTTAGCATGAAAAGGCTAGAAGTCTAAAAATGCGTCGCTGGTGCATCTAACAACGCAGAACGGAGGAGCTGCTGGGGCAACAGCGCCACCGGAATGTCCTCGTCGGCACCGGCACCGTCACCGAGGCGGTGCCGGGCACGGCAGAGGGCACTTCCTGCGTGAGTGACCACGTGGCCCCCATCTGCAGCAGCCGCCTCCTCCCGTGGCTGAAGCGACACTGGGCTGGACCCAGGCGGGGCGGGCCCAGCCTCGGCCGCTCCAGGTCTCCTGCCTGCTAGGTGGGGGACAGCACCCCACCAGCAGGCTCCGGGGACAAGGGTGCCAGGCAGATGGACTTATCACCTTAAAGGTGAAAACGCATTTTAAAACAGGACTTGGCTATGTAAGTTTGAAACTGCTGGAAGGAGTGAGTAAAGCAAAAACGCTCTCAGGACAGTTCGTGGAGTGGGGACGCGCGCGACCTGCCGTCACGGCCACAGTAGGAACCGCCCTGATGCTGAGCGGGCTCCGTCCGCGCGACGACGTTTTCTTCTCTCTAGTGCAGCCCCCGGGCACAGGCTGCGCAGAGCACAGGCACACGGGCTCTCCCGGAGACCCCGAATCCACAGCCGAGGCCTTCGGAGCGTCGCCGGAACTGGGGTCCCCCTCAAAGGGCACTTTCCGGCTAAAGAACCAGGTCGCATGTTTAATTCGAATGGACAGAGATTAGAAAATCACGGGTTTTCTATTAGATAAAGTGACTTTAAATCTCGTCTCTTAGAGAAAATGCAGACTTGGGGAATTCTCGATCTGAGCTGAATCCCCTGAACGCAAGACACTGTCCTTCTCCACCACGGGTGCAAAGCCGGGGACACGGCGCACGGCACAGCCGGTGCTCAGAGCGCGTGCGTGCAAGCCCGGGTTCTGGGGCCGGCCGGGAGGCTCTGGCGGGGGGGACCTCTCACTCCGGGGCTGCACCGCCCCCCGGCCCTCGGTCCCCAGGTAAAGACCGGTGTGTGGCCTGCGCGTCAATTAGCACAAGAGATGCATTTGGCTTTTTAGACAAACACCCATGAGATTAGTGGCAACACCGCTGGTTATCAGCTGTCACACGACACCATTAGGGACACACTGCAAGGCTGGCCAGCCGTCTCACCCAGGCGCAGGGGCCCCCCGTCTCCAGGTCCGGCTGCGACTGGCAGAGAAATCGGGAAGAGAAAACGACAGAAAAGAGCATTGCCGAGAAAGAGTTAAAAACACGACAAAAACACGACAAAAACAGAAAACAGGTGACCATTGCCGAGAAAGAGTTAAAAACACGACAAAAACAGAAAACAGGTGATGCCGGAAACGCTGACGAATTTCATTTCTGGCCTGACTTCTAGGATCTGCGCCTTTGCAAGAGGAAACACAGTAGAGTGGGAGCTGCCGTGAGATCCCGCAGCATTAAATAAAACTTCCATGGCAACTGTTGCTACGGTTCCTAGACTCCAAAGCAGCTTGAGAAAGTTTCTTTCCTCCTCTACGAAACACACTCTGTTTATGTCAGGCAAAAGGTGAACTACTGCATCGCTCTCGAGTCTTCAGAAAGAAAGAGGAAAAACTTCTGATACCCACGGTCTAGATTTTCTGAGAATACACGGGAAGAAAGTAAAATTTCCCCCGTTTCTTGAGGACTGTACCATCACTCACGTGAATGATGGAGGCCTGTGTTTCCAGAAAGGCGAGAAATAAAAAGTATTAACCTTTCTCGGAACTCCACAAACTAGAAATTTCAGAATATTAAAAACAGCACAAACGGGCCCTTCACAGGAGACTCCTCTCGGCTGGGCTGCCGGGTCCCCTCGCCCTGCCCACCGATTGGAGCTTCGGGCCCCTGAGGGGGTGGGGACCAATGTTGTCACAAAGAACAGTGGCCCCCAGCAGCCCTCTGAGCAGCTCTGGATTTGTCTGCACCTACAGCAACGAGGTTGGACTCTCACGTCCAGGGTCCAGGTCCTTGAGGTCTGCGAACTGTACGGCTGTTCTTCAGGTCAAGGCCATCCCGGGAGAGACCAGGGCAGCAGCAAACCGCGGGGCTGACCCCGAAACCCCCCACCGCGGACTCCCTCTTCCTCCCCGAGCTCTTATTTGGCATCCCAGCCGTGGAACCCTCTGTAACATTTAATATTTGAAAACCAATGTGCTCCATATCTTGGCAAAGAACGGTGTCCAGCGAAGAAATTTAACTCATTTCCGGTTAAAACCATTGAAAATAAAATGAATGCTATAAGCCCATGACCACTCACTAACAGTGCAACAGCTCTGAAGTCTCTGGGGTCAGAAAGCCCTCTGAGAATCTTAAGAAAGTGACGAATTCTTTTCCCGGAGAAACGCAAGTGTAAACTCTTGCATACGATTTGGGGAGGATCATAGATCTGAAAACGGTGTTTTGATAGAGAGATGTGGGTTCTGTCCCCAATTTCTATCCTATTCTCTCGGCCCCGTAATAACCAGGTTTTGCTCTCATCACGCCCCCTGAACGATCCCTGGTCAGCCACGGTGCGAAGGCCACTGGTCCGTCCGTCCTTAGCCCTACGCTCCCTTGCTCACTCCCCTCCTCCTGGGAATGGTACCCCCTTCGCTCGGTGCTCAACCCTCTCCCGAGCCTGCACCACGGCCGAGATTCCTGTGCCTCGTCCGCTGATGCTCAAACTGAGTTTCCGGCTCACGTTGTGGTCACACAAACCCTACTGCTCCTCGTGGGACTCTGAGAGGAGGTGACGACTGTGGGGCTAAGGAGCAAGTGTCAAATAGCGAGGAGTCTCTCTAACTGACTTCGCATTTGAGCTGGAACTTTCTGGCAAAATCTCTGTGGTACAAGGGTGTGACGACAGTGTCCCCACAGCACGACTGATCGCCTTCACAGTTGGTTGTTATAACGGCCAAGTTAAGCGCACATTTAGTGCCTACCCGAGAAGTCTAGGAGTGGTTATGATTGAATCATTATGATGATTAAAAACGAGCCTGCCACTCTACATGGTCCTTAAGGAAAACGTGGTGGCTGCATCGAGAACTGATGATCACCAGCAGCGAGATGCGGTTTTAGCCCCATGGTAGACTGGCATGCTCAGGTGAATTTACTGGCCTGAAAACACACTTTCTCTACTTCCCAAAGCACGCAATTTTTTCACGTATAATTATGAAATTAAAGAAAAACATGTATTTGTGTTTCTTGGCCATTCAGCCGACAGTGATGTAGCGTTGTCACCAAGTCGAAGCAAGGAACATTTATTTCCTGAAGGTGGGCAGACAAGGGCCTGGTGGGTCTGATCTGTTCCAACTGGCCACCAGGTAGCCAAGTGCAGCTCTCGAAACATCCCCGAATAATAACTACTTTAAGTTACTTCACCCGAGGTTCTAATTAGATAGGTGCCCGTGTATGCAAACAAGCTATGATCGACAGACGGTGCCTTCACACTCCCCCTCACCCCACCAGCACCCCGAGACAACTTGATGTGGCAGTTAGTGACGTGGACAAATACGTAAAACCACCAAGACCCCCACTCAGGAGAGACAGGCGGGGGCGCCCACCCCCGTGCACGATCTTGCCACGTCAGCGAGCAGCTGTCCCACCGTCTGACGGGGTCTTAAACAAGCACCGGGGAGATGCCGACCACAAGCCTCACGGGACAATGGGGAAGGCGTGTGGGAGCAGGGACGCCGGGCGGCCAGCTCCCGCCGGGCGCCGGCCCTCGCGGACTCGGTCGCCAGGGTACTGACCCTCAGACTTCCACGGCTGCCCACGGAAGCGCGCTCATCTTCATCAGAGGCCTAGTGAGAGAGAATGAAAGAAGCATGAAGTGACACGGGACACATGCAAAGAAGCCGATGCCCAGCTCCCGGCGGGACGCGGCTGACCCAAGCCCGTGGCGGTGGGCCGGTCGGGGCGTCCGAAAGTCCCGGAGGCCCCAGCCGAGGACCCGCCGCCGCGGGCTGCTCGCGCCTCCGTTTACGGAGGGCTGTCCCCGGAAAACGCGGCTTTAACGTCGTTGAAATGCTGTGATTTACTTCGCTGGCCGCCTGCAGATACGCAGCCTCCACGCACGTGACTCTGCGAAGTATTCACAGATGCCCGATGAAAACAAGCGCTGAAACGGTCAGGAATCTATCGATATTCAGAAACTTCTCAAACGCTCTCCCCTCACCAAAGTTAGGGCAAAAGGCTAAAAGCTGACTTCGTCTTTATTTAGGTAATCGCACCCATTTCAGTTACTGCCTTTAATAAACGCCGTTCAGACACAGACAGCTGAATGGGTGTGTGTGCAGCGCCCCCAGACCTCCAGCGCCACGCATGCAAACCAGCCCCAGCCCGCGCGGGGCAGCGGTACTGACCGACGTGTTTCTCCGGGGTCCGCGCGAGTACCGCTCACTGTCTTCCTACCAAAGCGAAAGAGGAAACAGCAGGACAAGGTTAGAGACGCGGGAGAAGCCTCAGGTGGTCAACGGTGTCACGACACCCCGTTCCTGGCACTAATGTCGAATACTTTCTCTGCCTCTGCTTAAAGGCTCCGATTAGACTGCTGGGGAGACACGTTTTCTCCCACGGGGGTAGGGGGCGTTCAAGCACACAGATAACTGGCGTTTGTCATTCTGGCTTTAAAAACGAGTGTGTTGGGGGAGAAGCTGAGTCTTCGTTTTTTTTTCTAACCTCTACGGTCTGGTCTGTTTACATCCGATTTTTTTTCTTACCCTCTTCTCTGCAGAAATCGGAAGATAAATCAGCTTGATGACAGAGCCAGGAGGGACGTCGCCCTGTCCGCTGCGTTCTGGGGGTACACGGGTGCGCTCACTGGGGCATCTCTGGGGGCACACGGGTGCGCTCACTGGGGCGTCTCTGAGGGTGAGGTGCACCACGTCATCGGCTCCTCACACAGTTTCTCAGTGGCACGGAAAACGCGCCTTTTAACTGTCTTAAGACTTGATAAACGTGCATTTGCCTGTGCCACACAAGCCTACAGTGCGGCTCACACCGAGTAAAGGCTGAAGGTGATCGCTGTTTAGATGGAGGATGTGCTGCTTCCAGAACAATCACTTTTACATCGTACGCAGGGAGCAAAGATGCTAGGGGGTAAATTCACATGTCCTTAGATTATTTCCCGTATGAGGGGCATTTAACAGGACATTCCCATACTGGCCGGGTTTTCAAGTGCTAATGGCATGTGATGCTGTCCGGGAGGTAGGTGACAATGTGACAAGGATGGGAGGAGGTGGAGCACTCAGGTGACAAGGGCAGGCAGAGGCTGAGCGCACCCAGGTGCATGAGTTAATGAGACGGGGAGGGAAGCCACGTTCTGGTGGGACCGTGGACAGTGAGCAGGATGCTCCCCCGTCTAGAGCCCCCCGCCATGGGTCACCGTCTCTTCCCGGGAGGGTCATAAGGATGGTGTGTCATCGGGGGCGAGCCAGCTCTCAGGTGACTTAGGAAGACAGAGGAGCTGTTGCAGGAAACGCTGAGCAGGTAACAGAATTCCCTCACCAAAGAACGTGGTTTCAGCGGGCACGGTGAATGGTGTGGCTGGGGCGGGGGGCGGGGACCCAACGGCAAAGGTGGATAAAGGTCGGAATGAGGGTGACCGGCCAGCCGCCTGCAATTGTGAATGAGGGAAATGCAGTCTAATGGGACCTCTGGGCTCCAAGCAGATCCTGACAAGACAGGCTGGTAACAGGAAGTTCTCACGCTGGGGACACAGGCCCGGCCTGACTGTCCCTAGTGGACAGCCCCGTGCCCCAGGAGGTCAGAGACCTCCACAAACTGCCGGCCTGGAGACTACAGCAGTCAGCGGCCACTGAGCAGACCCGGCCCGACGCCCGGCCAGGGCCACTAGGAGCGGGCGTCAGACGGGATGCGGACGGCCAGGCCAGGAGCGGAAGTCCCCGGAAGGAACCTCTCGGGATTCAATTACGGTGAAAACAGGAATCTGCCTATGTCATTAAGCTGTGTATGAATCAAATTATAAACCATGTAAGTTTCTTAAAATCGTATTCGAGGCCTACCATCCATCGCTCGATGTCACCCCATTTTGTATCCAGCCCGTAATATTTCTAGAGACAGAAGGGAAAGAAAATGAGGCAAGAAGTGAGACGGTAGGTGCACAAGGAACTGTCCCGACGTGCGTTTCCGAGGTGCTGCCCAAGCCACACGGTGCGGGTGACACGCCAAGACAAAGCAGGAGCAACGTTCCGGGCTCTGCAGAGGCAGCGCCACCAAGCAGACCCTCCTGGGGACAGACCCTCCCCGGCAAGCCCAGGCAGCGGGGGACAAGGCGCGCCCGGAGGGGTAGCCCCCGCGGAGACCAGGAAGTTCACTGAGCCCAGCGGCGTCTGCAGCCCCGGGAGCAGGCGCCGTGGGGACAGACGGGGGCCGGAAGCTGTTCCAGCGTCTCTACGAAAGGAACCGAGGACCTAGAAGAGCGGGGAGCAGCCGCGATCGCCCCCGGGCTTCTGGTGCCCTCGCTCCCGCTCCCCGCTATCCACGCTAAATTCAGGTCCGGGAGACTTGGCTGACTCTGGAGTCTGCACAGCCCCTGTCCTACAGGAGAGGCCCCTGCCAGGGACAACATTATGCTTGCGTGTTACGTTCTGCATTTGCTTTGGCTCACGCCTCCACGTTTCCACCTGGCTCGTCTAGGTCACAACGGTCCCATTCGGAATTAGGAAAGCAGATTCCCAGTGGCTATGACCTGTCGCTAAATGGGAATTACCAAGCCAGGTGGGAACCAGGCGTAGCTCAAATAACTAACGGAGTTTTTACTTCGCTCTTCACTTTCCCAAGGAGCAACCAACCAAACCTCCCCATTCCCTAACACAGACGGGATCCTCCTCCTTAGACAGCAAAACCTCATCATCGGAGGGAAAACCTTAGATGCTAGAAGGACAAGGCGAGTTTTGAAACCGCTTTACCATGAGCGAAAGCATGCTGCTGCCATGCTTGGCGTGGTCTCCGTTGAATTTGAAGGGTGCCCAGATTTAAAATCTATGCTCTCTGATGGCCTCGCCCCTTCCTCTGAGGGATGATGATGGATGTGAGCGGAAGAAAAAAGGTTGGAAGGGAGAATTTAACAAGGCTTTGAAAACGCAACCAATGCAGCACTGTGGTATCGAAAGTATATGAGCCAAATCTTTTTCTGTAAGTTACTTTCCTTAGAATATAAATGGAGAAGGGAAATAAATACTTCCCGGTCCTGTTTTAATATCAATTGGAGTGAAATGCAACAGCTTAAAGCTATTTTGCATTCAATTGATGCTATCCCCGCCCTCACTGTCAAATACCAGATATGCAAAATTTGATGCCATCAACTCTCCTTTAACTCATCACACACAAAAAAATTTAATTCCAAAAGAAGCCTCTATTATCGGTTTTTGTATTTCCACGTTCTCCTTTTTGCCAATTGTATACTCATGCCGAGTGTCACACACTGCCTCTTCCGTGATACAAATAAGAACCAGTATTCAAAAATCTTCCGTCTGGTTCACGGGGGGCCTTAGCTGCTGCAACCCTAGCTACATTTCCACGTCACTCCGTGGAGGGAGATCATCCTAACAAACAGTAAGTGCAGATAACTAGCGGTTCTGAGGTTAGCTCGCAGGCGGGCACAGCAAACTCCAGAAAGCACACAATATTTCAAATGTAAACTACTAGGATTAGCCGGTGAGCCATGCGGGGGAAAGCGAGAGCCAGACTAATGCAAAAGGTGCTTGACTTTCAGAAATAACTTTGATTCAGTAGATGAGAACTCATCAAGCAAAACCACCAAACGGGCTGGGAGAGAAGGCTTGCCGCCTCCCATTCCTTGTCACAAATCTCAGTGACAAAGAAAGGCTTCCGGGACCTGGGACCCATCTTTAACAGGAAGATGTGTATCTGCTTTTTCCCTGAGGACGAGTTTTACTTTGTATACAAATTACCATTCTGACAAAGTTCCAACCGTGTGTCCTTGGTAAGTTACTAAAAATAACAGTGCCGTAGCAAGAAATGAATGAATCAAAGTGGAAATGGCCAGAGAGAGTCTCTTATCTGACGATTATATCCTGCTCTGCCAGTCACGGAGAGGGTTCCTAGCTTTGCCAGCCTTGCCTTTCACCTGTCAAATCCTCGCGGAGGCTCTGTAAGGCCGACCTGGCTCTAGCTTCGACGTGCATTTCAATACTTGGCTCCTACAAAAATTAAGAAAGTACTAAGAAATTCCGGCGCCTCCTTAACTGAGTTCTTTTTTTAAAATTAAATTTACTGGGGTGACACTGGTTAATAAGATAGGTCTCAAAGTGTGCGATTCAGTAATACATCGTCTGTAAGTTGCATTGTGTATTAACTGATTTCTTTATACTTTTCAGGATAGTAGTTATGCAGATGCAGGGGGTGGGAAGGGAAGGTAGTTTAGGACTGTAGCTAATGAAGGCGTTCAGGGAGAGAATTTTAAATTTACTGGTAGTGTGTTTAAAGGGCCTGCATGGTCTAACCTCTGAAATTAAGTTAACTTGTTTTGATGGTCTTAGCTGCTCTGAAAACAAACAAACAAACAAACAAACAAACAAACAAACCATAGTTGTGGTTTCTATCGAGAAACTAAATAAATTACAACAAAATTTTAAATTCTTTTTCTTGAAACTATATAAATGTATAAAAAGAAACTATGACAGAAACTATGGCTTGAGTTTGTCACGAGTAACAAACTCAAGCCATTTCCGGGCGAGAGGCACTGTGCGCATCTTATAAACTCTCAGAGATCCGCTCACTCTGCTGCATCAGAGTCACTGAGCGTTGTCCTCCTCATTTTCTGTGTCTGGCCTGCTCAGTATGTGGATTTCTGAACCTCAACTGCTTCTACAAAACGCTAGGAAACAGAGAAGCACGTTAGCACCCTGAATGGTAGGGAGGGAGGGCAGGTTTATTTTAAGTTATTGGATTTTACTGTTCTGTCATCGTTTTTTTTTTAATAGCATGTAATAATCTCTTAATGTGCGCTAATTTGCTTTGGTATTTTTTAAGTTTTCCAACCAAATTATACGGAGAAATCATCTTTCCTTTCAACATCTGATTTTGAAAGGTTTCCAAAATTTTGAAACATGATTTCATTTTGTCTTCGAATTTGTTTTTTTTTTCTCAAAGAAACAATTTTCTAATTTCTTGAGAAAAACGGAGATAAAAGCATTCGGAATACAGAAGTGTGTCTGAGGGACAGTGGCTTCAGGTGGAGGTTGAACTGGGGACTGAAATCAGCGTTTACGTTCACATCGATTCGCAGACACGACCACAGAAGCGGCAGGAAGGACGTCTACGTCTTTTCAGTGACAGGCGTTATTTCTGAAAGGTGACCAGGCGCTTGCGAGGAAAAGAATAGTCCATGCAAATAAGGAAACGAAGAAGGAAGAGCCTACCTTTTGAACCTGATAGATCTGCAGAGAAGGACAGAAGGAAAAGAAATAGAACATCCAATTAAAGAAGCAGAGACAGGAGGGAGGAAGGTTCTGCACGTACCTGGACAGGAGCGAACGCCGCACTGAACGACAGGCTGCGAACCGGCGAACTACGAATGGAGAAACTTTTAAAACCTCGTCGAAAGCATCAGTCGTCGTGCCCCTTATCTGCCATTGTCTCCTAGCTCCCTGGGAGCGGCACGGGCTCAGCGCCCGCGTCTCTGCGGGGATCCTGCTGCCACGCGAAGGCAGAAACTGTATGACCTGTCACCATACATGGGGGAAAGTAGTTCATCTTCGATTCAGAATTTCTTCTCACACTGACAAAAAGTGTAACAGAAAAGAACAGAAACTTAATTGGAAAGTCGGCTTCACACACAGTGAAGAAAGACGCTTTCGCGCTCCGTCTCCTGCAGAGACAAACCCAGGAGCGTTCCAGCCGAACGGCGTGGTCACGAGAACGTGACTGAAACGCATTTTTAAAGAGCTTGTGACACATCAGTTTGCCTCGGAGAGGTCCCCGACGTTTGCAGGAATCGGGAGGTGAGGCTGAGACGGCCGCCTCGTTCATCTGCTCACTCGTTCATTCACTTGTCTAAGCACTTGCTGAGTCAGGCGCTGTTCCAGGCACGGCCAGCGCCGTCACATCGGGAACGTGGCGTCCCTGGTCTGGCCCGGTGGGCGCGGGTGCACGTACTCGACACCGCGGCTGCGTGTGCCCTGATCGTCCCGCCACCTGGCTTGGCATTCGTCCCATCAGCGTAGGGTCTCGGACGAAGTAAAACGTTCGTTTGAATTTCCCAAAGAATTCCTACCCTTCTCCCTGGATGGATCCGTACAACCCGTTTAAACGGCCCATGAAGCACACAGTCGGTTCTCGCCATCTGCGCCGGTGACAAGAAGCGTGGGCTGCCAGGGATTAGCTGGCAGCGTGCCCACGGGCCCCGTCGTCAGGGTCTGAGGGGCTGGGGGACGAGGCGCCCTCCTCAGACACCGCCCTGTTCCCCTGTCCTCTCTGGGTACTCTCCGTGTCCCCTTGCAGGGCCCCAGGCACGAGTGTGGCTTCAACCACAACCCACCTGTGAAAACCCCCGAACGGTGTCACCAGCTTCCTGGTCGCTTGAGCCCCCAGGGACGGTCACTGCTCATCCCAGGCGCTGTCCACCCTCGGTGGGCCTGACCTCCTCAGAAACCCCGGCCCTGCTCGGAAGCAGCCGAGGGGAGGTGGGCGGCTCGCCCCCAGAGGAGGTGCAGGCCCGTTTCTCAACCTTCACACCTAAGTATCAGGCTTCCTAGGTCAACGCTGGGCGTCCAAAGCACACTCCTTTCCGCTTTGTGCTCAGTGAAAACGCCAGTGCCCCCCGCTACCGGACTGCAGGCCCTCGAGCCGGGCAGTGTAGCCGGTTCCAGCAGGGCCAGCGATGCGGGGCCCGGCGGAGGCCGAGTGCGCTGTCTGAGCACCCCCCGTCCTGGAGCCCGGCCCCCAAACCCGAGGCTTCGGCCACGGCAGCCTGTCTCACTCCTGCCTCCGGATGCAGACACAGACGCTCGCGCACACGGGCGCACACGGGCACATGCACACGGGCGCACACGCGCACACACTCCCCCACCCTCCGACTCGGGTCAAAGAGCAGCCTGTCTCACTCCTGCCTCCGGATGCAGACACGGGTGCACACGGGCGCATGCATACGGGCACATACACACGGGCGTACACGCACACACACGCACACACGCGCACACGCGCACACACTCCCCCGGCCCCCGACTCGGGTCAAACAGCAGGTGGATGAGCAGCTGCTGCTTCCGCCTTCTCTCAGCTGCTCTGAGTCCGGCTGACAAAACTGCCTCCTTTGTGTCGATCCTGCGCCTCGAGCTTAGCCCCCAGGGGAAAAACCTGTTTTTCAAGGTTGGCTTCCACCTGTGAACTCAGGTGGATGAGCAGCTGCTGCTTCTGCCTTCTCTCTGAGTCCGGCTGACAAAAGTGCCTCTTTTGTGTCGATCCCGCGCCTCGAGCTTAGCCCGCAGGGGAGAAACCTGTTTTTCAAGGTTGGCTTCCGCCTGCGAAACGGCTGGGGTCATCCGGGGTCATCCGGCTCCTTCCATTCCCGGTCCTCTGCTGCCGAGAGCCGGGCACGCTCCCCGCCCGCCGCTGTCCCGGGCGGACATCCGGACCTCGCCCCTGTTTCTTCGTGTTCACCGTTGTGTACACATTTGGTTTTGAGGTAGAGGTGTACGAGGCAGACCACAAGTTCTGCAGCTTTTCAGATCTAGGTTTAAATCTCGGCTCGGCCCTGTCCTCAGGTGTGGGTAAGGCTGTGTGTCGCTCTGAGGTCTGACCTTCCCACCTGTAATAACACTGGGAAACCCCACTCCCAGACTGTAAGTGACAGTACCCAGGCCCAGCGCTGCCACAGGTCAGAGGCTCCAGGATGTCCCTGCCATGCTCTCTGCCCCACCCCGGTCCCCTTGGACCAGTAATAAAGGACACTTCTGTTTGATTTAAAACCTTTCGAACCCCCTTTTTGAAGAAGCAGACAAAAACTTTAAATACACCGTTCTCATGTTTCAAAGACCCGAAGTAAATGACAGCGAACCTGTCATCTGTGTAAGTCAGCACTGCTCCTGGGCTCACCGGGTCACTATAAACCCGAGGACAAGCCAGGGCCTCCACCTCCACCTGTCACCCCCGCTCCCTGTGCTGCCACCTCCCCGTGATGTCACCTCCCCTGTCACCTCCCATCACCTCCCACGACAGCTGCTGGCTCTTCTGGCTTTTCCACCTGCTGCACTAACCAGTTCGGCCCTCAGCTTCCTCCTGAGCACACACCGGGTTGTCACCGCACACCTGGATCACTCGTGGCCCCTGAGGCGTGTGCCCCGGCAGACGAATGATGCACACAGGACAGATTAAGAAGGTGCTTCCTCACGGCGAAGCCATGCTCTGCTCTGTCCTCCCCCAATGCTGACCCACGGGTGGTGGCGAATGGTCTGCGTGTGACAACAGTCCCTGCAACCTGAATCACGGCAAGACCTTTGACCCCGGTGAACCACTTCAGTGACTTTACAATGAAAGCGAAGCATACCATTAAAATAAAGAATTTCAAAATTCTAACGTCATCGACTAACCAAACGACATTTGTGTGTACGACCGTGAAAGGCGATGGTGGCGTTTGTGACCGGATTTCCCAGGTTTTCGTCAGATTTTCTACGCAAAGCCTCCGATCCGCAGCAGGCGCCACACACCCGAGGGCGGGCCACGCTGAGCAGGGCCACGCTGAGCAGGAGCTGGGCCCTGCAGACTCTCAGCCAGGGGCTCAGTGACACCACCTGCTGCCCTGCAGCCTGAATGGGCTACCTCCTCGGGGCCCTTGGTCCCCGTAGGCTCAGCGGGGCTGCCGCGAGGGACGGAGAGACGCCCCGAGGTCTCATCCCGGTGTCCGACCCCCATATTACACGACCGAACTGCGATGGCCAAGACGTACAGGTTCCCATCATCGGGCAGCAGCTGTCCTTGTGCTGCTGGGCATACTGTAACTGACACGCAGGCCGACGCCCACGCCGTGGGTTCCAGCGAGACAGACGAAGACCCCCGACTGAGGGAGAAACGGGGCTCACTGCTTAGAGGAGGCTGTTCAAACAGGTGGTTCTGTGGCCTCGTCCCTCGCAACCTTTATTTTCTAAATCAAGAACTTTTGCCAAAGAACTCTGCAATTACCAGCTTACATCATCAAGCGTGTATTTAAGTCCATTCTGTCCATAATTAAGGACAGAATATGTTTTACCTAAACATATAATTTGGAACGTAAATATACAGGCACGTATTACGTCATTTATTTTGTCTTGACTTTGTAGAGACTTTACACGTGTATTCTCGGTGAAAGTAACTTTCTCTTAAAGGAGGGAAGTTATAAGCCGTCACTAACACCATTGTGAAACCCTAGGGCAGGCCCTCGTAGGGCAGGCCCCCACTGCCATCTTTCCCGAGTCTGCTGGTTCAGCTCCCGCAGAGCTAAGGGGACAGCCACCGGCCACTGGAGATTACAAACGGGAGGAGGGGAGTTTCGGTGCTGAAACTCAATCAGCTGTGGCGAAACCTGGCAGAGAGACAAAAATTTGAGAAAACTCTTCTAACAACTCTTTCGAGACCCGAATATTAAAACACTTGGGGACGGCTGAGGACCAGGGGAAGCTGATTAGAACCGGCTGCTCATCGCTGAGGGCGGGGGGCTCCTGGTGCTGGAGAATGAGGCAGCTGCCTCCCCAGATGGTCATGCACCCTGAGAAACAGGGCCACCACCCCTGTGTGAGCACCCTAAAGCCCCCTGCGTGAGCACCCTAACGCCCCCTGCGTGAGCACCCTAACGCCCCCTGCGTGAGCACCCTAATGCTCCACGGCCATTCTGGCTTCTAAAGCGAGGGGAGGGGTCTTGCAGTGCCCTGTTCACAGTGGGCTTGCAAGTACCTACTGAATGGTCAGAAATATTCAAAACAGACACTGACGCCAGGCAGACTGGAAAAACAACTTATCACTTAAAATATCTATTATTAATAATGAGTTTAGGCTAAAAGAACTATTCTCTTAGGTGGCCTTCGAGAACAGTGATTTATACCGGAGTCTGATTGTGCAGAAGCTGCTTTCTGTCTGGATGGCTCTTAAAGCGCAGGTGACATTGTCTCGGATAGGCACAGGACAAAGGTCTACAAAACAAGATCTGTCCCTTCCCTCCACGTCCTAGCCTAAATACTTGTCCTTGCATTTGAAAATGCTCCTTTGAATGATCTTCAATATTCACTCCTGTCGGGTTCGTACCCCAAGTTTACGGACGGGTATTGATGAGGTTCCAGTCCGCGCCCTTGACCAAGATGATTGGTGGTGGGTGGAGATGCTTCCTGTTACTCATCAGGCCTCAGGAAGTTTCGAAGCCCAAATTCTCAACATGAACATTTTTCAATGATAAATGCAATTCTAGGGGGAAAGGCGCCGAGAAAATGCTAAACCCGCGCTTCTTCCAGGAAACGAAGAGAGAAAAAGTACAAAAAGTACAAAAAGTAGCACCTTAACTCTGGAGGCAAAATGTCACAGAACCCAGCGCTCGCTGACACTGTGTCTGTGCCTCCCACAGTGAGGGGGACCGGGGACCTGCTTCCCAATGCTTGCTTCGTCTCTGTTCACATGGAAAAACACAGGACAAGTCACACCGAAAGTGCCGTCACCTCCCAGCGACTGTGGGAGTGGCGTGTGGCATACCAGGAGCCGTGCCCGCCCACCCGGCCCCACAGCCACGGCGGCCACCTCGTGGCCCTGCCCCCTCGTCACTGGGACGGTGGTATGACTGCCCCGGCTTGGGTTTCTGGTGATCTTCAAATCATGAGGAGGGGTTCCTCCCCCCAAGTCCCCCTCCCCAGGTTTGCACATTTCCACAGGGAGTGGCCAACCCTGCAGGCAGAGAATGCCTGTGAGTGACCGGGCTGGTGGCTGGGCCCTCGCCCTACAGGGAAGGTGACGGGAAGAATGGGGTACAGTCCGCAACGGTTTAAAGAGAAACTGGAAATCCAGATTTTTGTCTGAACTCTCACAAGTGTTAAAACACTGGCCCAGCTTTTCCACGGTGGCTCCGTGACCCAAACACAACCACACAGCCAGCCCCGGGGGAGGCGGCTGGCGGCCTCTCCAGCCAAGTGAGTTCAAATCTTCTGAACGAGAAAAGCCTTCGGTGGGGCCTGGTGTGGATGCCCTCGCTGGGTGCGGCCCACAGGAGACCTGGGTCCCGTGGAGAGGGACTCATTCGCCAGACGTCAAGGTCACGGAAAAACCCACAGCTCTAACTGCCACTTAAAGCTGTTTCTGAGACACGCCTCCCGCTCAAGATTACGAAAATAAGCAGCGAGCACCCTTAACAGGTGTGTAAACACAGCACCCCGCCTCCCAGGGGCCAGGCGCCCCGGCCACGTCAACCAGGGCGCTGATTCATGTGTGGGTTCCGGGCTTCGTGAAGCCTGTTAAAAGGCATAAAAACTGCAGGGGAAACGCTTTTACACCCAACGGTTTGGTTCGTTAAAAAAAATAATCCTCTGTTCACCGTTCTAATTCGGAGAGGGAGAATCTAGCTCAGCAGTCAGACGCCGAAGTTCGGGGCCAGGGGCTGGGAACACCGGCGCGGGGCTGGCCTCGTGCGGGAGGCGCGTCTCCCGACCCCACAGGTCGGGAGTCTGGGACAGGCACGTCTGGCACGCGCCCTCCCTGGCTTGACCTTGAACGAAGGTCAGAGACACAAGCGGGGGCAACGCCAAGCCGACACCGCGCCTGGAACGGACACCGGGACGCCCGCCTCACCTCCTTCTGCTGCCGCTCCAGCTCCTTCATCCTGATGTCGCGGGCCTCGGCACGGGCCGCGCGCTTCGCCGCCAGCCTGGCCTCCGCCTGGAACAGACCGGAGATGTCATTAGCAGATGGACCGGCGGCTCCTGTCGAGCGCGGGGCTGACAGGATGCTGCTCACAGCAAACCTCGCTCCGAGCTTCGTGACGACATGGGGACGCACCGCATCGCAGAGGTGCAGGGGTCGTCAGGCGTGGCAGCGGCAGTGGTGACGGGGTTGACGACCCCTGCCGTTCCCGGGGCCTCCCCTGAACGCCAGTGGCCCTGCCCGAGGGCTTCGTGTGCACTGAGCCACGTGCACTATCACCCCGCAGTCTACACGGGGGAGCGAAGGCACAGAGGGCAATGACTTGCCCGAGGTCACACAGCCCGCAGGCGGCAGGGCCGGGCAGGGCTGCAGGTCACTGCTCAGCCCCTCCCGTTCCAGGGCAGGGAGCAGAGGCCGCGACCGGCTCCCAGATGCGTCCGAGGGCACGGGGCGGGCACCCTGCTGCCCTCGGCCGCCTTTGACACCTGCCGGGGCAGAAGTCCACCTCTTCCCAAAGTGAGGACCAGAGGGCATGAGTCCAGCTGTCAGAACTGCCACGTGAAAAAAAACCTGCCTCCATGTAACTGTCCAGTCGTCACTGCTCAGCCCCATTTTGCTCAAGAGCATTTAAAACGGGCCAGACGACGCTGTCAGACCCGCCCTGGATGCCATTTCCCGTTTCCCGAGCCACACGCTCGTTCACGAGTCCAGCTGATACAACGGCGGGCGGGGTGAGGAGCAAGGGGTGTCAGGTCCCAGGTGTTCCTTCCACTTAACACTTTTGGGGCTACACCAGTTCTGCAGACACATTTTCAGACGTCTCACTGTTCCCTAGATAACCCTAAAATGGGACCATCAGAGACGCCAGCAGGCGGTGAGGTGGCTGAGTCCCTGGCTGTGCTGCGTCTCCCCGACAGCTGGGCGCCCCACACTGCAGGCTCATGACAGGACAGTGGGTCCTGGTGTCAGGGACGTCCACCTCCCCCACCCCATACTTGCATTAAATTACAAATTAACCTTCTTTCTAAGTTCTAACCTAAGTTGAAAACTGATCACCATCACCTGTCAGAGGCTGGGGGCCGGGTCTGCATAGGGGGTTTATTCTATAATTTGGCGCCTTCATCAACCCAAGGCCACGTCCTTTGAATCAGGGGGTGTCAAAAGTCACACCTGCACCAGAACTTTGATTTCTTGTGGCCATTTTCCATTTGTAAACCGTGTTACATTGTGTGAGGGGCAAAGCAGGAGAGGAGGGGACGGTCCCTCAGACTGACATCGGTGACGCCAACCAGCCAGGAAGAGGCCGGGCTTCAGGCCCAGGGCCGCCGCCTCCCCAGACAGCCTGCTGGCTCAGTCTACACCGGCGCAGACCAGGCGGCCGCACCCATCAGCCCATCAGCTGGCGGGGAGGAAGCTGGAGGGTGATGGGAAGAGGGGAGGGCGGGCATGGGGGAGGAGGAGGGAGTGAGGAGTGAGAATATGAGGAAGAGAAAAGGGGCCGCCAGTGGGGCATGGGAGGGAGGGGTCGCCACTGGGGGATACTACATGGCAAAGGCAAATGCACAAATGCTGAAGGCCCTTCATCAGCTGACTCCCATTAACCAAATGACAGCTCACTGGGTGGGCCCGACCTAATCAGATGAGTCCTTTAAGACCGAGTCTAGGAACCCTCCTGCTGGCCTGTGAGGGGGCCGCATGACCAGGCACACAGCCAGCCTCTCGGAGCCGAGCGCAGGCCCGGCTGATAGCCAGCCGGCACACGGGGCCTGCGTCCTGCCGCAGTGAGGAGGTGAGCTCTGCCCAGCGCCATGTGAGCTCGGGAGGGGGTCCCAGGTCTAGAAAGCGTGCAGAGCCCCGACGCCTTGCCTGCAGCCCTGAGGCCGAGCAGAGGACCTGTCTCGCTTGTGTCCAGACTCCTGACCCACGGAAACTCGGAGATGACAGACGCGTGTCGTCTTGAGCTGCTGGATTCGTTATGCAGCAGAGACAGGGAACCGATACGGGGAGGGGAGGCCGACAAGACGCCTGCCTGCCCCTGCGGGTGTCTCTGCGACCTGAGGAGACGCTGAGCACCTGCCCCCCCATCCTTCCGGCCCGCCTGCCCAGCCCCCACCCACTCTGCTCTAGCTCAGCCTGGGACTGGGGCAAAGTTCTCACTGGGTGGGCCCGACCTAATCAGATGAGTCCTTTAAGACCGAGTCTAGGAACCCTCCTGCTGGCCTGTGAGGGGGCCGCATGACCAGGCACACAGCCAGCCTCTCGGAGCCGAGCGCAGGCCCGGCTGATAGCCAGCCGGCACACGGGGCCTGAGTCCTGCCGCAGTGAGGAGGTGAGCTCTGCCCAGCACCATGTGAGCTCGGGAGGGGGTCCCAGGTCTAGAAAGCGGGCAGAGCCCCGACGCCTTGCCTGCAGCCCTGAGGCCGAGCAGAGGACCGGTCTGACCCACGGAAACTCAGAGATGACAGACGCGTGTCGTCTTAAGCTGCTGGATTCGTTATGCAGCAGAGACAGGTGACCGATACGGGGAGGGGAGGCTGAGAAGACACCTGCCTGCCCGTGCGGGTGTCTCTGCGACCTGAGGGGACTCTGAGCACCCGCCCCCCCATCCTTCCGGCCCGCCTGCCCAGCCCCCACCCACTCTGCTCTAGCTCAGCCTGGGACTGGGGCAAAGTTCTCTGAAGAAATGACCTATGTGAGCATGTGGTCACTGCCGCCTGAGGGGCCTCCCACCGGACAGGCAGGCCTGCAAAATAATGTCCCATCAGACCCCAGCCACCCAGGAAAAGGCTCCTGTCATGCCTCCCCCCTCTGGTCCTCATGTCCAGCCCAAAATGTCCATCCTGTCCCTGAGGCCACCCCCTGATTTGAAAGACATGGGCTTTGGTTGATTAAGGAACCACGTGAGCAAAACCAAGTTATAGAATAAAGCCTGAGCCAGCCATGCTTGAAGACAGATCAACTAGTCCATCTTCCCCTCAGATTAGAAGTTAGAAAGGAGATAAGTTTGTCATTCAGTACAACTCGATACCCTGTGACTCGCCGCCCCATGGGGCTCCTGCATCTCGGGATTCACATGCAACTGGTACGGGAAGCGAAGCACTCACGATACGGGAGATGGTGACGACCACGCTTCTGGGCCTCCGGCTAAGTAAAGACGGACACGGCAGTCAGCATTTAACCCGGCACGGAGCCCGCGCACAGCCAGCTTCGTGAGCATTAGCCTGTCACCAGCCTGAGACGTCTGCACAGCAAAACGACAGTTTTGACAAAATGACTCGCCCTAAAACACTGCCTTTGCCCAAAACACAGAACAGCCCGACACAGAGCATGAGAGATGAAAATCACTCACGTGACTGTTACAAACTCACCAGGGGAGATACTTGATATAACTGACTCGTTAAATGAACAAAAAATACAACACAGCGGTGGCCCGCCACGGTGACACGCAAACGTGAAGTCGTCCCCTCCCACACGTCGCATGAGGCCCGACCGTTCTGGGGCCCGGCGGGCCAGCACTGCCATGGTGCAGGGCAAATCCATCACTACCCGACACTTCTGCAAACCGTGAACTCTCACGCTTCAGGTCACAGCCACGTCGGAGCGTTTAAGAGTTTCCAAGCGCTCGCTTCTATGTAGCTCACGGGCACTGCACTCACTGGCCGCCACCAGGCCAGGCCACCGCCCGGCCACCCTCACCCTTATCACAGCACTGCCCGAGGTAGCCAGGAAAGAACTTGAACGTCCAGTTTGGGTCCCCGTGTCAAGGGTTGCAGATGAAGCACTTGGTGACCATGAACAATGCCAAGTGCCACGGTGGGGGCTGCTCGGAGAATTCTGGGTGTTGGGAAGACTTCCTGGGGGACATGAACCCTATGCCAAACTCCGACGAGCAAAGAGCAGAAAACCCGGGCTCGGGACGGTGCGACAAGGGCACGTGGCAGGTGGGACGTCCCAAGGGCCCAGGGTAGAGGCCCAGCCCTCGGCTCCACCTGGAACTTCACCGTGGAGGAACGCAGGACCAAGGTCGGCTTCTGATTCAGACATGGCTCCAGCTGAGACGTGGGGAACAGGGGCAGGCAGCAGAGGGTGCAGGAAGTGGGGGGAGGCTACCCCCAGCCCCCGTGTGGACGGGAGTAGGCGGGGCTGCCAGTCCTGCAAAGGGGTGAGGCCCCTGCAGGAGGCATCAGGAGTCCGAGGCCCCGAGGAGGCCTGCACTGTCCAGGAGCCAGAAGGCCTTGGAGAAGTGCCCCCAAGGCAGCCTCCACCCAGATGCTTGCAGTGCCAGGATGCAGTGCCAGGATGCTCGCTGGAACCTGAATACACCCACACGGTGGCCCCACCTTGAAGGCCCGGGGTGGGGGCAGCTGCAGTTGGGGGGTGTGCCTGCATGATAGCCACCCCCTAGCCCCAGTCTCAAGGGAGATGACCACAGTGGGGGCGGGGGTGGGGAGGAAAGCAGGTGGACTTAGGGAATTTAGGATACAAAGTATACACTACCTGGGCTCCAAAAAAAAAAAAAAAGTTTAGAAACAAACCCTCCCACGCCCCAACCAGCTGTTAGAGGTCTACAGCTCCTTCCCACTCGAGTTCAGGGACACTCTACTGATGACAGCACCAAGCTCCTTCTCGGTGACCTCGGGCTCTCGTCAGGCAGCAGCTCCTATCCAAGAGCCTGTGGGAATGGCCTCCAGAGGTCTCGGTGGCTTTGCCCCCGTCCTACGGGCTCCGCCAGGGAGGGGGGCTGCAAGCCATTGGCTCCCCCGACCTCCGAGAAAAGCAGAGAGCTGGGCCCCAAATCCTCCCTTCTCTGCCCAACGTCACCTTTGTTGAGATACATCCTAAAATATTTAAGAATGAAATAAGTTGGCTCCGATTTGCCTTAAAATAACCTGGGGGGTGGGCGGGGAGTGGGCGGTGCCTCTGGTGAGCTGACAGCGGTTGGGGCTGAAGGTGGGCCACGGGGCTCTTTAAACCCAGGGCTGTCACAGCATCCTCCCCCAGCAACAGGGGCATGG